AGTTCTATTTATGAAAAATGGCTCTTGAAATAGAGAGTGCAGAGTAAGTAATCAAACAGTATATTCCATTTTTAATTAATTAATTATTGTTTGTAGTGTTATAAGATTAATACAACAATATCTAAAAGAAAACAACCTTCAAAGATCACTACTTACACTACAAGTGAGAATGAATAAACAAATAAATCAATAATAATAATTATAATGATTAGGAGGAGACTGGTATATCTCTCAATACAGTGGATTCTATTGAAAGTTTTGTGTCAGATATCAGTAAAGGACACTGGGACGCTGTTCTTCAAGCCATCCAGTCTCTGAAACTACCAGACAAAACATTAATTGACCTATATGAACAGGTACGTAAATCCGCCATTTTTGTTTTCATTTTGCACATGTTCCATCAAAATAATTAATTAATTAATAGATAGTGATTGAGTTGATTGAGTTAAGAGAATTAGGGGCAGCCCGTTCCTTACTAAGACAGACTGACCCGATGATAATGCTGAAACAGCAACAGCCGGAGCGATACATCCACCTGGAGAACCTACTGGCAAGATCTTACTTTGACCCGAGAGAAGTAAGTGGTTGCCGCCATTGTATGGTAGAGGATATATTACATGTTGTTATCTACTGTTAGGCCTACACTAATGGAAGCAGTAAAGAGAAGAGAAGAGCTGCTATAGCTAATGGTATTGAATTGTATTTTATTGATTTATTTATTTATTTATTTATTTATCCATTTGCTTTTTAGCATTATCTGGTGAAGTGTCAGTAGTGCCTCCGTCAAGGTTACTGGCACTGTTAGGTCAATCTTTAAAATGGCAGCAGCACCAGGGACTGCTACCACCTGGTTCAACAATTGATCTATTCAGGTTATTAATCAATTCATTAATTAATTTTATTGTTTATTTATTTATTAATTAAGAGGTCGTGCTGCCATGAGAGACTCAGAGGAAGAGAAGTATCCAACGTTACTTAATAAAACCATAAAGTTTGGAACTAAGTCGTACCCACAGTCCGCAGTCTTCTCACCAGACGGACAATACCTGGTCACTGGTAGTGCTGATGGCTTCATTGAAGTTTGGAACTTCACTACCGGAAAAATAAGGAAGGATTTGAAGTATCAGGCACAAGTATAATAATGATAATAATGATGATGATGATGATGATGATATTATTATTATTGTCATTAGGATAGTTTCATGATGATGGATGATGCTGTCCTTTGTCTCTCATTCAGTAGAGACAGTGAACTCTTGGCATCTGGAGCCAGGGACGGAAGAATAAAAGTAATAATAACAATAATAAATAATAATCAACATACCGTATTTTTATTTCATTATTATTATTATTATTAGGTTTGGAAAGTCTCCACTGGTCAGTGTCTAAGGCGGTTTGAACATGCCCACAATGAGAGTGTGACGTCAGTCTCCTTCTCCAAGGACAGCAGTCAAATATTGAGCTGCTCCAATGACATGAGCATCAGGTAATGGCAGAGTGTTAGGACATCAATATGTATCAGGAAATGTAATAAAAGTTTGGGTTGATTTCAGAGCCATTTTTTGGAAAAAACCATGGGCTATAGCCTTGGGTATTTTTCAGAATTTTGGCGTTTTCTTAAAATGGCCGTAACTGGAAAAATTGAAGTCGGAATTGACTCAAACTTGCTACACAGCATAAGGACATCAATATGTATCAGAAAATGTAATAAAAATTTGGGGTGATTTTTTGGGCATTTTTTGGAAAAAAACCATGGGCTATAGCCTTGGGTATTTTTCAGAATTTTGACATTTTCTTAAAATGGCCGCAACTTGAAAAATTGAAGTCGGAATCAACTCAAACTTGCTACACAGCATAAGGACATCAATATTTATCAGAAAATGTAATAAAAATTTGGGGTGATTTTTTGGGCATTTTTGGAAAAAACCATGGGCTATAGCCTTGGGTATTTTTCAGAATTTTGACGTTTTCTTAAAATGGCCGTAACTCGAAAAATTAAAGTCAAAATCAGCTCAAACTTGCTACACAGCATAAGGACATCAATATGTATCAGAAAATGTAATAAAAGTTTGGTGTGATTTTTTGGGCATTTTTTGGAAAAAAACCATGGGCTATATATATAGCCTTGGGTATTTTTCAGAATTTTGACATTTTCTTAAAATGGCCGCAACTTGAAAAATTGAAGTCGGAATCAACTCAAACTTGCTACACAGCATAAGGACATCAATATGTATCAGAAAATGTAATAAAAATTTGGTGTGATTTTTTGGGCATTTTTTGGAAAAAACCATGGACTATAGCCTTGGGTATTTTTCAGAATTTTGGCGTTTTCTTAAAATGGCTGTAACTGAAAAAATTGAAGTCAGAATTGACTCAAACTTGCTACACAGCATAAGGACATCAATATGTATCAGAAAATGTAATAAAAATTTGGTGTGATTTTTTGGACATTTTGTGGAAAAACCATGGACTATAGCCTTGGGTATTTTTCAGAATTTTGGCGTTTTCTTAAAATAGCTGTAATTGAAAAATTGAAGTCGGAATCAACTCAAACTTGCTACACAGCATAAGGACATCAATATGTATCAGAAAATTTAATAAAAATTTGAGGTGATTTTTTGGGCATTTTTTGGAAAAAACCATGGCCTTGGGTATTTTTCAGAATTTTTGACGTTTTCTTAAAATGGCCGTAACTTGAAAAATTGAAGTCGGAATCGACTCAAACTTGCTACACAGCATAAGGACATTATTATGTATCAGAAAATGTAATAAAAATTTGGAATGATTTTTTGGCCATTTTTTTTGAAAGAACCATGGGCTATCATTAGTATTAAATAATTGATAAAATGAACATTGAATTGTTTATTTATTTACAGGGTACATGGTCTTAAATCAGGGAAGACCCTGAAAGAGTTCAAAGGTCATTCTTCATATGTTAATTCAGTTCTCTATATACCAGAAACCCACACCATCCTGAGCTGCAGCAGCGATGGTTCCATCAAAGTACGAATGAGATAGAGCATATACCACATTGTAGCTCAATCATTGTTTAATTATGTTTTTTACACGTTAATTAATATATTTCTTGTTTCAATAGTTGTGGAATACAAAAACTGTTGAGTGTATTGGTACATTCAAACCAACACTAGTGGGTGTGGCTCAAGGAGATATAACTATTAATAATATACACCTGCTACCTAAAGTCACTGACCAGTTTGTAGTATCTAATAGAACCAACACAGTCTGCATAATGAACACACAGGGACAGGTAACTTTAATTAACAGTTTATCATTCTATAGTTTTAGTTTAGTGGAATTGCATCTAATTATCTTGCTCCA